CCAACCTAATAGCGATGGCCTCCAACCCAATAGCCATGGTCTCCAACTTAATAGCGATGGACCAACCAAATAGCGATGGCCTCCAACCCAATAGCCATAGCGATGGACCAACCTAATAGCGATGGCCTCCAACCTAGTAGCTTCTTGTTACTAGTAGCGATGCACTTGTTACTCGGTTCGCCTCCAACTTGGCGGTGCACTTCAGGTTCGCCACGTCGCTGCCCGCGGTCGGCTCGGTGATCGCCAGGCAGCAGACCTACTGCCAGCGGAGTAGGGCGGACCACCTTTTCGTGGTTCGGAGAGGTGATATGACACCCGGAGCTTCACACCAAAATAGCCATGTCAGAATTTGCATACAGCTTTTTTAGTGTTTTCGCAGTCCATATGATCAGCATTCAGTGATGTTAGGAGCCTTTGTTTCGTCAGACTCCTTTGAGTCCTTTGCTGGGCATTTGGATGACTTGGACTTTGCTGCCGCTGTCCGTCTGCGGTCCATCTGCATGAAGCGCCCGGACCGTCCCATCGCACGTGTCCCACCGGTGGCACTCGACACATGTGGTCGTTCCTTCCTCTTCTCGCTGGAAGAAGCGAAAGGAATTGAGTGGATTACCCAGCCGATGAGCGAAAAGTTCAGAACTCCAAAGCCCAAAAAAGAGAGGCAAAACGATGCAGTCTTGCTACTGGCGAATCAACAATATATGGCACTGGGTCAAAACAGGGGGGACCCTGGTGAACCACCGATCGAACGCAACACAGATCTCTCCACAAGAGATGCAGGTTACTGCGGTTTGGACTCTCTTGACCCACTGCCATATGTTTCTTCACCAAGCGAAATCGACTTTTGAGCTAAACCCTCCGACCCGAAGCCTCCCGTCGGGTCGGAGCCGGACGGGCTCGACCGCGGCCTTCTCGCCCTTCACGCAGGGCGGCATCACGCGGTTCTTCAGCTCCTTCACGCGGAAACCGGAAGCTCGAGACAACAGCTCCGACACAGCTCCGACGCACCCTCACTGCGTCGTTCGTGGAGGGTCGGGAAGGGCCCTATTTCAGGTCTCAATGTGGTGACCTGTAGAGTCGGGTCCGAGGACGAACACCGAACGTGGTCCAAATGCCTGGACGAAGCCACATGCTCTAGCTTGGGGCAGCTGGTTCTGGAGAAACCTTCGGCACTTCGCCGCCTCGACTCAGTTTAAAACGATGAAACCAAGGAAGCCTGACAAACCGAGGCAGAAACCGAGCGATGAGGGAGCTTCGTCCAACCGTATGAGACCGGGCCCGTCGGTTGAAGCGGGCCCCTCGGCCATCTTCAGACGGCCCCTTTTCGATGCGCCAAGTGACGCGAAGCTGAAGACCCCCAAAAACGCCGACGACTCTCGCAGCGAGACGGCGAGACAGGTTGTGCTGTTCAGCTTGACCCTGACAGGTTTGACCCGGGGAAATCCCAAGGTCTCCAGGTGTCCAAGTGCCTGCATCTGGCGGAAACGAACACGAGGAAGGAAGCTTTGCCAGTTCATGGAACATCCTCCTACTTCTAAACCTTGTAGAAACTCATATATGCAACCTATAGCCCCCTTGAAAGCGATCTCCGTCTTCACCCTTCTCTCCTCCGAGCCATGGTGATACACGGGTGGCAGACCAATGGTGGTGCCACCGGCAATGCCCCACTGGAAGCCCACGGAGCCCGTGCGCGACATCTCGTCGTACATGATGAGCTCGTGGAAGTAGTCCTGGTGTCGGGTGCCTCTTGGAGCGAGGAGGTGTCGGTGTGATGGTCATGGCAGGGATTGATTCATATTTTATCCTACAAGGACCAGGAACCCTGACCACCCAGGGCCTGGCTGTAACTGAATGGACATCCTCCCTAATCAATCTGCTGCCACTGGTCATCCGATGAACATCGTGAGCTGGTCTACTCCGAGGTCAAAAGCCGCCTCCCACTGGTGCTTGGAAGAACTCCAGACTTCCAAGATACTTCCGAAGCTGACGTGAGGCGGTCATGGAGGTGTGATGGCTGATGGTCCTGGACGTGTGTCCTTTGCATGGCTGATGTACCCAAGCTTGTCTACAGTATACGGGACCATCACAAATCATTCATGAAGCAGAAGACTTCTTGTTCCAGTGCTTTGTAAATCTTGGAGAGTTTGGAGGGTAAGGCAAGGACGCAGGGGTTGCAGTCCATCAGATCTTTGGTTTCGGTAGTTTGTATATCTAGGGAACCTTTCAGAGGTCTTTCTTCTGGCGATAGCTAGCGCTCAAGCCAGAAGCCACTGTATTAAACACCATGTTCATGCGCCAGTTCTTTTTCCAAGATGGAAAAAATGAAACAAAACCGCCTTGTTTCGGACTAGTTCGCTCGTTCGTTGAGACCCAAATAGCCCAAGCCAATGATGTTCAAAAAGAGCTTTCCGGACTGAACCTGTGAGAAGCTTGAGAAACCTACGAAGTACCTGCTGGAGTGCGTTCCTTTTCGAAGATTCCCCAACAACTAAACATCTGACCCCCCTCACATTCCCCGGAAAATGATTGGGTTGCATTCGGTTGGGTCCACTCCAATCTGCCTCACTTCATGCTGGGTCTGCTTTAACTTGAAACCTCCCATCTAGCCAGACCAATCGAATCGTCCGTCTGGGTTGAATCACGACTGAACACATGCCACCCACGGGAATTAGAAGGTCTTTTACTTGCCATGCCCCCCTTGTTGCGGCTCTCTTTCTTCGCCCCACACGGAACCCGTAAGACGACGACTTCGCCCCCCCCCCCCCCCCCCCCCGCTCCGGCTCGAAGCCCCACGGGGAGGGGCCGAAGTACTTCTCGGGCCATGGACGGCCGATGCACAGCGCCAGGGTGCCCTGCTTGCCCGCTTCCAGGTACATCTCCTGCACATCTGGCGGTGGGTGGCACCCCGGAAAAAGGAAAAATGAAACAAAAAAGCTTTTGGGGGCTTGTCACACCTCCGGCCCACCAAATAGATGGCACCCGTTTCCTTGTTTCCTGAGAGATTTGGAGTGAACCTCCTTTGCATGGCGAGAAAAACATGCAGCTTTCGGGGGTCTGGTCGTGTTTTTGCTTCAGTTCTTGGGGCACCCTCATGTTCCAAACAGCTGGCTGGGGCGCCGCTATGAGGGTGTGCCAGGGTGCACCAAAGATCTCGTCAGGCCACGAGAGGTCTGCTGCTGCCGGGCGTCAATGGAGAAAAAGACAGCGCTTGGGCCCCGAAAATCGCCCCCGGAAGAGCACGAAAGTCGCCATGTCTGGACTAAAGGGGTGCGGGTTCTTTGGACCAATTTTGGGGCAAATGAATGACATCCAACTGGCCAAAGTTGCGGGTTCTTTGGTCAATCTTCTTTCAGCATCAGGTGTTGGTCTTGGAAGGGTGTTTTCTCAAGCCAAGGATGGCTGTCAAACAACATCCCTGACCACATCATATATTATACCAACCCTTTTTCACGGCACTGTTCCATGAAAATTATCGAAAATCCATGAATCCTGGTGATTGATTCGCGGGGGTCCGGAATACTTCAAAATACCTCTCACTTTGTACTCGACCAGCGCTGCTCCTTGGGGATGGTTCCCTTCTCATCCCAGTCGTGCACGTTGCTCATGATGTGCTCGTCCACGTACTCGCGCATGAGCTTGCGGAACTGCTTATGCGTGTCGTTGTAGTAGGGCGTGTTGTAGGCCTGCCGGGAGATGCGCTTGCATATGCATGTGTTGAGACATGAGAAGATCTCTTTGTTTGAAACATGCGCACATTGAATACCTCACATCAAGACCCAAGATCAACCACCTCGCTGCGTCATGTAGATCTTCCATCTAATATATATAATATGTTGTAATATATGTATGTATACATAGGCCCCAAAATAGATAGAAAAGTAGATCCTCACTAAAACTGTATTGGAAACCGTTTCTATCTATTTGGGGACCAATACAATAGGAGTTCTCCAGTTCTCGGGGCAAGTTCGTCAATCAAGCGTTCTCCTCGCGATCAAGGTCGAAAAGTGGAAAGGTGAGACGAACGTGAGGCGAAAGTGATTGTTTAGACCCCACGGTCCCTGAAAATATCCAACATGGCTGTGGGTGAAAATCAAGATACCTTAGTTGCCCCTGGAAGGTCAAGCTGCCTAAGGTGTTGGGGGCTCCAAGTTTTGATATCTCCAGAACTATATAGATGAGTCAGCTTGATGAGCCTCATGTCCCTGGACTCTCTGGCCTTCCCCGGAACACTTTCGACCGTTTCACCCTCCCCTTCAGATCGCCAGCCCGCACAGGTCTTCTCCGCCTGGTACCAAGAAGGGTCCCCGAAGGGGTGCCCTTCACCATAGACCTCCGTGTTCATCCCCTTCAACATCGCAGGGCTCACCATCTTTGTGCTACGACCAGATGCACAGCGCCTGAAAAGATCTCTTGAGCAGCTCTGCGGAGTGCGAAAAAGATCTGTCATGTCAAGATGAGTGTCAACAGAGCAATACAATGGAAGATCCCATGTGAACAACTACACCCTACCGGTCAAAAACCTCATTTTACTGGAGTTGGTCATACTAAAACACGACTCAAGGAGGCCAAAGAGCAGGTTTTACTGGGTCAAACTGGACTCATACGGACTCATACGCTACGGGTGTTCTACTACTGCCTTGTTCTCCCTGGTCACGGCCCGGTTCTCGGTCTCAGGTCATCGCCGACTAGAGAAGCCCTACAGATACACTCCGACCTGCTTCGCTGGTTGGAACCCTAAACCCTAAACCAAAGAAGACATGGAAAACCACTTCACCGAAACAGTGTTTGGGAGAAACCATCTCCGACTCCCGCTGACGTATCATTTCGGGTATCCCATGGTTTCCCTAGGGCCCACATGGTCTCGCAACGTTTTCGTGCAGGTTTCACCGTTCGTTTCGCGGATCCAAAGTCATAAACCCACAGGTGTTCCCTCGTGGCTTGGTCCAAGAAACCCAACCTTCTGAAAAACCTAGGAAACCTTCAGTTTCCAAAGCCATTTCGGTGATTTTCGATATGGATGGCACAAATTCCAAAAAGAAATTTAGAGCTGGTTTGGAACCCCCATTGCTCCAGTGCCATCTGAAACCACTCCCAGTGTGAAAATATGAATGTAGAAGATGGACAATGGATCAAATCCAGTCGCCATGGCTTTTGCCAACCACTTTCCTCCCTCACCATCCCTTTGGTGTGTCTCATAGAAGCGAAAGACCCTGAAAGACCCTGTCCCGAACTGGAGGTTCGAATAGCGAAACCATGGGCAGGAGGAAGGCGACCGACAACGATGCGTGCACTGTGCACCCACCAGCACACCCTAACGTGAGTTTCCACCTCCTAGAAAACAACAGTTCCAGGTTTTAGCCGTTTTGGAAGGGCTCAAGGCTTTTCGGGACCAATTAGAGGTGGGACCGTACAGGGTGGGTAGATGTGTGGTATTCCCCTCTTTCTTTGGGTGACCAGTCCAAACTCCACTCTTTTCGGAGACCCCGACAAATCCACTGCCGTGTCCTGATGTTGTGTGATTAGGGTGTGTTTTAAGGGCCAGAGAATGCAGTTGGATCTATAAACTGCGTTCATTTTTGGATACTCCTGAACAACTTACAGCCTGCAAGACTCTGAAGGCCCCAAATAGAAAGTGCCCAATTCTCCGGTGTGAGCACCACCGTCAGCTAGATTCGAGACGTGAAACTACCTGGAAATCCGAGACGTGAAATGACCTGGAAAAATGCCCAGGATGCCATCTGTCCATCTATCTTCGAATCCGTATCTTCCTTCCCCGGTCACACATCTTCTTGACCTCCGGTCGGCAGCCTCCGAGCGCCCGGGCCAGCACAGTCGTCCTCCACCTGCCCGGGGGAGGGGCCAAACGACTGGTCTTCGCCGAGAGGTTCCACAACGCCCCCGAGGACGGAGCCAACAGCATGCCTTCGGAGCATTCGCCGGAGTATGATGGCATGAATGCAGGGGAACCCGTCCAGTCCCGCCCACCGCTACCCATTTGGCCAAACCATCGAGATTTGGAGGTCGTGTCGATGGTCAACGCAGAGAGATTGAGATGAAATCAGGGGTGTTGACTCACTAGTCGTGTCGGTCTCCGAGGTGAATTTCCACCCAAGTCTTCAGCGACATCTTGAAAATTGGGTCAAAAAAAAAGTATTGATCAGTCGGCGTGTGGCTACCCAGCACCCATATCAGGTGAAGTTCATGGTGTCCCCTGATATCTGTGGAAGTTTAAATGCCAGTGACTCAACTTGCATGAGTGTTAGTTAGGAAAGGGCAAAATGAATAAATCACCATCTAAGCATAAAAATGTCTTGTCAGATATGACTCATGACTCTATGACACGACAAAAATGCTTGTCACATGCAAGTGGCGGTTGTTTCTGGCGTTTTCCACGGTCTTTTTGTTGATCGGCTGCGCCTCCATGCTTGGACCAGCACCCGAACCATGCACGCGTAACGCGCGCCGTGGTTCGCACGTGGTGGTTTCACCGATGGAACCGCAGCTGTGAACCGGTGTTTTCTTCTTATGGTCGCATCAAATGCTGGTGGATTTGGTGCCAGGCATGGGGGTTTGCAAGTGACCAGTGAGAGCGACCCAAAACGTGGGTTGATTGGACCACATGAAATCATACGCAGGATGCCAGTGGCATCGGCAGTCGCTTGCGTGCTTGCGTTTGACTGGTTTACTGTCCGGTGCCTTCGTGGATCTTCTGTTGAGGCGATGTGAGCCCCGTTTGTAGCGTCCGTGCTCCTAGTAGCGATGCCAGGAGCCCCTAGTAGCTTCTTGCTCCTAGTAGTAAGAAGGCCAGGCTGGTCCTTGGGCAGTTCACATGTTGGTAGGTGGAAGTCTACAATCCTCTTTGGTCATGTCACAAGATGGTCAGCACCACACTCACAATGAGGTAATGACCTCCAGCCGTGCTGGAATCTGAGCAAAAAGCCGGAGAGCGCAATTGGTCTACGTTGGTCTTCAAAGTCTCCGAAAACAGAGTCGGCGCCACAATATTAAGCGGCTCCAAACTAGAAAGGCCTACAACAGCAAAGCCTTGAGCCACGTCTGATGCCCCGCGCATCAGATGGTAGTGCATGTGCTTTACTTCAACAGCAAGTTCTGCGTTGGTAGAGTGAATTTGGCAAAGTCTCATCCTGGCACAAGTGATGTCACCATCCAACTGCAACT